TCGACAGTAATTAATTATATATAAAATAAGAGGAAACGAATAAGTAGTTGAATGTATAAAAGTTTGTTCGTTTTATTATTTTGTTAACATAAACATCATTGAACACATCTTGAAACGGTGGATTCCCCAACCAGTTAATTATCTATTAAAGAAAAAAGAAAAATGGAAATAATATAAATTAAATGGAAACGATGTATTGCAGAAATTTGTACACATATCTCCATTTTTCTTTTTAGATACGTTATTGTCCACCGAAATTTCTATTCAAAAGATATCATTGAATTAGTTTATCGTTCAACAAAAAGGACCGATTGTAAAAAATTTAGTTCTTGAAAAGTTTTTAGTTATAGGAATTTTTCGTAATGTTGTGTATAAATTTTATATATTTATTTCTTATTATAATTTACAAAATTAACTTCTGTAATTATACATTTCGCAAAGGACTTGTTGTGCTATTACAGTTTCAATAAACAACAATACATGTCAAAAGTGATAAGCTCCTTAATCGACCGGGGTATAGAAACAAAATTATTCAATAGAACTTGATAATAATGAAGATGAGACCGACTATGATTATGAAAATAGGTTTATGAAACTAGCAAACACACTTCCTGCTACAAAAAGCCGAACTATAAGAATTACTTCTCTGGCAAACATAGAATTACAGAATTGCAAGATTTCATTGTTGTTAGATGCGAGATCTTTTTGCCAAAATATTTTACACGTTGCTTCGACGAATCTGTAAGATTTCGACAAACAATTGATAGACGCTAATTTGACTATAATGCACCAGACAATGGGCGAGCAAAATGATAAATACGGTAGGACCTCTATCGAACGGACCTCTCTCGAGTGAAATCTCTCTCTCCTTGTAAGTCCTAGTCTACAATAGATGCTTTAAGCCTTAAGAAATTGACCAATCACAGTCGATTAGTCTCCTCACATTCAACTGTAATTGGTAAATTTCTTAAAGCTTAGACCTTAAAGCACCTATTGTAGACCGGAACTAAGGTTACAGTAGACATCAAAATTTAATATATCCTAGAACGGACTTAACATATAGGAAAAAATCTGCGTTGCTATTTCATTTTTAGTAGATATAGCACAAAATAAGTGAAACAAAGGATATCTCATGAGGTACGGTGTATTTTTTATAAATTTGTATTATTGCAGAAAATTCTTTTTTTAACAGAGACTACCAATTATACTTGTTCAAAATAATTACAAGAAATATATGTGCGTTCTTATTATAGAAACTATACGTTCATTTCAATTTTTGACGCGAAGAGCATCTAACTTTCTTCATACTTTTATGAATTTGGCACGCTCCATTTATTTTCGTTCTATAATAAGCATTATGACAGTATATAATTTGAATTAAAAAATTGTCGTTTTACATTGAAAAGGGTTCGTACGATTAGGGTTGAAGAGTTCTTTCTAAAATGTTAATACTTTTTTTCATATTAAGTATTGTTATATATTTTGGCTCTTACCAGTGTTTTGTTTTTCATTTAATTGAATATATATTAATTTTGATCTTCGAATTTAGGAAATGAAATTTAAATTATAATTATATGTATTAGGTATATAAATTAAGTCGGCACCTTTTTTTGATAAAATTCAAACATTATTTGTGGATTACATAATATAATATTAATTATCAAAATAATCTTCATCATTTTCTACAACTCTAGTCCACTTTTCGGGCCACTGATGGATTCCACCGTGAAAAAAATATGGCGGTTTTGACTCGATGAAGTTATCAATGGATTTTTCCACGTCAGGTTGCAATAGTTCGTAATATGAAATCTCTTTCATACCCCATCAAATACACAACGAAACCTTTTTGGTGTAGATATTTGGTTTTGTTGTCGAAGTTGACGCTTGTCTACTCATGACTTTGATCGTTTAGAGTTATTATGCAGGATCCACTTTTCATCCCTCGTAATAATTTGATGTAAAAAAATTGAAGAAGTTAATCAAAACGTCTGGTGTGTCTACAAGTCTTAAATTATAATATTAGTGTAGAAAACATCTCTACAATATAATTTTCACTTGAACTTACATAAGCATATATTACTAATTTAATAATTATTATTCTTATTTTGCTTAACTGCCTAATATATTGATCTTTTTATAAAAAATATATATTTAAACAGCAACGCGTTATTTTAATATTTTAAAATTTCTTTTCTCATCGAAATATTTTTCTGAATAACAATTTATTTGTTTTATATTACAACATCTTTTTGTGTAATTTTCTGCAAAGTAGAATGTACATTATATGGAATGTACATCCTGACGTTTTATCATTTTTTTTTTTATAATTTTTTTAAGATTATATAATACATTAATTCTGATCATCAAGTATTATCATTATTATGATATGAGAGAAAATCATTTTAGCATACTATAAAATTTGCAAAACAGTTTTCTCTGTTCTGCCATTTCTATTNTTTGGTCACTCAAAATACAAACAAAAAGTCACGTCACCTATCATGTATTTTTCAGTTTTTATGTTTAAATATCATATATTACATTCATCTTCTATTTGTAATTTACTATAGTTTTAGCTTGTCTAAAAAATATGAAAAGCCTATCATGTATTTTTCAGTTTTTATGTTTAAGTATCACATATTACATTCATCTTTATTTGTAATTTACTATAATTTTAGCTTGTCTAAATATGAAAAACAAAAATTGTCAACTCATTGGTTATATTTTCCTATAAATCGTCTCTCAGTTGACTAAGTAGTAATATGTAATTTTTCATATTTCTAAACAGCCATCAATTTTTGTTTAAATAAGTAGATATAAGAACCTTTATTCCATGTTAATAATAATAATATGATAAATAATATCATGTATATGGTTTTTAAATGACTTTAAATCAAATATACATGAGGCTGTTGAAATTAGATAGAAATTATACACATTACGAATAGAATGAACAGTCCCTATAAAATATAATTTACACAAATGATAACACGCAATGATAATAATGATCATACAGAAAACATAGTATGTAAAATCGTAAATAATGTTTCATTTGTTGTTCTGTTGCGAATTATTCATTTAAAGAGGGTTTCTGTCAATAATTTAATTTTTTAGGATAAAAACGAAATATTATGATATATATATAGTTTATTACGTTTTACAATTACACGATGAAGTTTTATGGTAAAGTGCTATCAATTTTATCATCAGTTAGTATGTCGGATGCCGTGAAATCCATACGTTGGTTTCTACCAAGGAGAGCAGACAACTTGCACAACAATAATAATAATAATTATTCGCTTACAGTTAACATTCGACCTACATCGTAACTCAATAATTTCACTAATGTAACTTCAGTGCAGTAAGGGGTTTTGTACATAAAAATCTTATTTAATCTACTAAAAATACAGATACGACGGATAATATGAAAGCGGCCGGCAAGTTATCGCGGCCTCGACGCATTTTACCTCCGATCGACCGAAGACGAGCCAGGCGAGTGTGGCAACAGTTGCTATTCGCGCTTTATAATGGATTCGACCGTAACTCCCAACAATCTCCGGCTAATCCGCGACGATTCACAATCTCTCGTCGGCAAAAGTTCCGAAAACGCCTGCCCGAGTTCGCAACTCGCAGCGGTTAGCCAGCCGCCGCGCTTAGCGCTAATGTAAGCGCGAATCTTAACGCGACGCACCATCTTCTCGCGCGACAAAGTACCTCCAGCTTCAGCAACTTCGGCTCGTAACGAGTCCTGGTAATTAGCGCGTCGCATCGCCGGCGTGTATTATTCCGTTGTGATTTCATTCCGGGCGCCGCCGGCTGAAGTTACGACGCGAACGTAATGGATTCGCGCGACGAGCGCCCTCGAAATTCCCCGGGTAAGCTCTTTCGCAGAACGTAAAAGCCGGCTGCCTCATGCCTTAAAGAAGCGTTCCAAATTTGCAATGCACCGAGAGAGTGTCGCGCCCGCGCGAACGCCGGTTTGGTGCGCCAAGCATTTCTGATCATAACCCGTGAAAGTTCGAGACTGTATTAAACTTTATATTGCCGTTCGCCGGGGGGGAAGAGCTTTATATATCGCTTTATACACCGCCCCGCGTCCACGTCGCGACACGAATTTACGGCTGACATTCCGTTACACAGTCGGCAGACGCTGAATCCTTTTTCTTTTTCTTTCCCACGACTGTAATTTTATCATTGCCACCTCTGATCGCCACTGTGAAGTTTTCCGATTTCGCTATTGTTGCACTGATTGTACGACGAAGAGCTTTCCACTGTTCGTTACATATATTATATACTAGATAATATATTATACTATATTATATATTACAAGATCACATTAATACAGACGTAAATTAAAAAGAAAATATCGACTTTCACTCTAAAACTTTGTGGAATACTTAAAAATAATTAGTATAATATATATGATATCATGTATTGATGCTCGTGTTCAACGCGATCAAAGTACACCGAAAGAATATTTATTTTCATATTTTAATTTTTTTTTATTATTACGTATATATTATACTTATAAAAATATTACACCAGAAAATTTGATACTATGTACTGCAAGTATTATCCGATAAAAATTGCAAGATATGTGCGATCGGATGCTCAAGATGCGAGAACTTGAGCATCGGACAGATCCGAAACACAGATATCTAATGTTGCCAAAACTCGCAATGTTCAATATTAAGGTATAAAAAAAGAATGATAACCGAAAGGTTTTGATACTTCAAACTCCGCCCGGACAGTTATTTGATAGGTAAACTATGTTACTGAACGCAGTTGTA